AAATGAAAAACCTCACATTCACAAAAACAACAGAAAACTGTAACTTTTTTCTTCTTTCCTGACAGTCCAGTATTCACTGATGAAGAACCAGACTGACTGGGTGCAGACTGATCACATTCTGCGGTGGGAATTGATTCAGCTTTTGCATGTATAGTAACATTCTTCTTGACACTTGCCGAATGTAAGTTGTCTCTGGCCTCATCGCTCCTGTCCAGTTCCTCGTCCTTTCAAAAGAAAAATAAATATAAATACAATAAATGCATAAGCATCGCGACAGGTGGACAGTACTTATACTTATCATTGGAGGCGTATCAAATGAAATGTTCAGTGAATAGTGTTAGTATTGACGTTCAATTTTGTATGTTGTTTCATTGATCAATTCATAAAATATCATGCCGTCTATGCTAAGGAATGACCATTGTTTTTCAACCACATTTCCCCTCTTTCGTCTCTGGCCTTCTCTCACTTGCCAAGCAATAAGCGGAGAACCTTATCCTGAGCAAAGTTGTTCCAGTAAAAATAGATTTTATTATACCTATTTGGAAAATGGCATCAAGCAGGCTGACTCTATACTTCCTACGCCTTCAAGATGGCTCTTAGTGCAATTTCCAATATAGTGCAATTGAATCTATTAATCTGCTGTCAAAATAGTGGTTACAATTTGAATTCAAAGTTTTTACTTATAGATGATATCTAAGGTTTAGGTGATATTTAAGGGCATCAAAATCACTCCTTTATACTGAACTTCAAATTCAGATTGTAACCGTCATTTTTGAAAGCAAATTTATAGACTCGATTGCACTATATTGAAAATTGCACTAAAAGCTGTCTCTAAGGGGTAGGACGTATAGAGTCAACCTACTTGACACCATTTTTTCAAATAGGTATAATAAAATCTATTTTTACAGTAAAAACTTCGCTCAGAGATAAGCTTTGTCGCTTGTTGTTGGCAAGTGAGAGAAGGCCAGAGACGAAAGAGTTTTTAATCCCTCCAAAAATGTTTTTGAAAATGATCGGGATTCTCTGAAACGTCAAATACGAAGTTTTTTGAACGTTTTTTTGAATATCTACATTTACCTGTTTTGATCCGTAAAAGGCAACAACTGCTTTTGCTCTAAGGAAAAATCATAATTTT